TTTTTTTTTTTTTTTTTTTTTTTTTATATCAGGAGCAGCTAAACGTTTTTATATATATCCCTCGTTTGTTGTCCTCTTCTCCCTCTCTGCCTACGGTTTACCGGGCAGTTCTATTTGACGATATATATATATATTTTTTATTGATCAGGAGTCGCTAAACGTGAGGTCTGGGAGGATCCTACTGGCAGATGAAAATGATCGGTTTCCTGCGGATCGGCCTCTAATTACTATCAATCTAATGATTCTAATCCAATGTAGAAATGAAGTTCATGCCATCTTATTCTATATACATAGCGTATATACATATATTCGATGCTATACTTAAAAGAGTGTAATCAATCAAGGAATTCTTCATTCCATCTTATTCTATATACATAGTGTATATATACATATATTCGATGCTATACTTAAAAGAGTGTAATCAATCAAGGAATTCTGCAGACTGTAGAGGGTTCAGCCTCCTGACGACTCAGTTGGTGAAACTCGGACGAAATGAAGTCTGTCACAGCCCCCCCTTGTTTGCTGTCCGCTTGAAGTCTCCCTCTCTCTCTGGCTACCGTTTACTGGGCAGTTCTATATATTATCAAATAGAACTGCCCTGTAAACGGTAGGCACCGAGGGAGAAGAGAACAACAATCAAGGGACTGTGGACACAGAGGGAGACGAGAACATCAAACAAGGGGCTGTAGGCACGGAGGGAGAAGAGAAAAAAAAAAAAAGGGGTGTAGGCACAGAGGGAGAAGAGAAAAAAAACAAGGGATTGTGACAGACTGTTTTGTCGGAGTTTCACCAACTCGTCAGGAAGATGAACCCTACATGGGTACACATTTATGTATGTAAACCCTTACGTGGGTACACATTTATGTATATGAAACCTTACATGGGTACACAATCAGCCAAATGTTATCGGTACTTCTTTGTTTTTTTTTGTGAAAAACAATTACAGATATGGAGTACGTGCTTTGACAAGGACAAACTACTGAGCAAGCTAGGCGGTCTCTCTCTGCGGCTCTTAGTGCCCGGATGCACATCCGGCCACCCACCCACTCGATCAAGACCTCCCATGGCCCCTGCACCGAAAGAAAGACTGGAAAAAAGCATGTCGCGTAGTAACTAAAACGGCCTGCACGCCGTTTCGTGCTGACCCGCCAGCGCAACAAAAAAAAAAAGGTTTTGGCCGGCAGCGCCAGCTTTTCAGGTAGGGTACCCCGGGCCTCCGAAAGTTGTGGGGCGTTAACGACAATGCCCGGCGGCCGATGTATGGGCCAAGTACTGGTGGTTTAAGCCACCAGTTCTTCCGAGGCAGTTTTCTCCAGGGTGATGAACGCTATGGGTGCCTGCTTCGGGCCTCCTTTTGGCTGGGGCCACCAGCCATTTTGCTCTGGCAGCCGAGCCCCGGAAGTTGCACAAGCCAAAAGAAGGCCCACGCGGGCTGGTGTTTTTGGTGCACATGGCATTTCCAGGGTGGGAAAAATGTTGGCCGAAGGGACTGGTGGTTTAAAAAGTGACAAAAGATTCAAAAGAAAGGTTTTTGACCACCGAAGAAACTCTGGCACAAATGGCTGCCCTTGCTGGCCTAAGGCCTGACCCGCACAATGGGTCAGTAGAGTCCCGAGGTAGGAAAAACTGGCTACGGGAAACTGAGGCGTCAAGGTACTGGAGGTTTACACCACCAGTACGTTTCCCACCTACTTTTTCAGAGTTGCAGATTGCTTGCTTCCGCAACTTTCGGGGCTCAGCCTCCAGAGCAAAATGGCATGTGGCGCCAGGCGAAAGGAGGTCTGAGCCGGGTCGTTAGCTTTTGGCGCGCAGGCAGAGTTGCATACCTGGCAGAGTTGCATACCTGGCAACCGCCGATGCCAACGGCCGACTGTTTTGCAGCTCACCAGTAGGGCCGACCGGTCGGTGGTCTGCAGACCAGTCAGAAAACAGCCATCCACTGATTATTTTTCAAATCTGAGTCGGGGGCTGTACTGCGCTTGCCGAGTACAACCCAAATCCGCTGACAAACTTTTGGGGATGGGAGGGGGTATGGGGGGGGGGTTGGGGCGGGGGGGGGGGGTATAGGGGGTATAGGGGGGTTTAAGGGGGGGATAGGGGTGGGATAGGGGGGATTGGGGGGGGGAAGGGGGTAATGAGGATGTTGAGGGGTGGTTTGGGGGTGTTGGGGGGATGTATTGGGGACGGGTATGGGGTTGCTGGTGGGGTAGTTGGGGGTTCTCGACCCAAATTTTTCTTTTTTACGGGCTGCCGATGACCCCCAACTTGTAGATGCCGCCGACCAGTCAAGGGTGCCGACCGTCGGGATATGCAACACTGCGCGCAGGACGTTTCCACCCCCGGAGAAAAGTGCCTCGGAAGTACTGGTGGTTTAAGGAATGCTGGGCCGGTTCAATTCATACTCGAAAAAGATATCCGCTCAGATGAAGCAGGTACAAATGGAAAATTTTCTCTGAGCTAAAAATAACCTCAGAGAGACTGGTGGTTTTATTAATATCCGTGTCTCAACCCATGCACCCTGAATTGGATCACCCAGTATTGTTCAATCACCACAATATCGAATCAGTCAAATTTAGATCAAACAAATATTGATTCGCCGTAATTTGGATCAGCCAAATATTTGAATAGCCCTAATTTGGAGCACCCTGACATTGAATCAGCCTAATATTGAACTGCCCTGATTTCTATCATGCTAACATCTTTTCCTTTTTTTTTTTTCTTTTTTTTTGGGACAAAAAGCTCCAATATATTCGTGGGGAGCAGCACGTGCTGGGAACTGGGCCCAGCGTCCGGCCATGTTAAACATCAAATTGTGCTTATTTGGATAACCCTAATTTGGACCACCCTTACTTTTTTTTTCTTATGTAAGCTACATTCTTCTCTCAATTTCACCTCTCCGGGCTCTCCCTACCTACCTAGTACCATGACTCCTTTTTTTTTTTTTTTTTTTCCCAACAAAACAGAGGCTCCATCTATTAGTGGGGAGCAACACCTGCTGGAAAGCGGGTCCGGCGCCCCTGAACATTGTAGTCGTTTGTTTGAACTTTGAACAGACATGTGGTTGTAGTATAAGCGCAGGCATTTAAACCACCAGTACTTGGCCGATAGCAAACAGACATGTGGTTGTAGTATAAGCGCAGGCATTTAAACCACCAGTACTTGGCCCAGCTACCGGCCGCGGAAAAAAATAGAGTAGAAACGTTTCTAGTTGGATGAATTTGGGTGCTCCTGTAGTGGCCCGTACGTTTCCTAAAATCGCATAGCGTTAACGGGCACGACTTTAGGAAGTACTGGTGGTTTAATGACGAGCAGCATTGATTGCCCTCGACTCGTAATCACGGGGATTGTTCCTGTCGGCATGTTCCCTGATGCTACAGGCTGTCCCCTGGCCGGTATTGCTCACCTGCAGGTTGGGAGCAGTCCCCTCATTTTCTCTGGTGAACACGGTTCTGGCTGCTACGGGGTTCCCCGTATGACCACCCTGACTTTGAATTGCCCTAATTTTTGGATCAGGGTCTGATCACCCTACAATTGAATCGCCCTAATACCGCCCTAATAATCCCCAAATTTGGATAACCCCAATATAAAATCACCTTAATGCCATGCTGAGATCAAATTGCCCAAGTAATCCCCAAATTTGGATAACCCTAATATAAAATCAACCTCATATAAAAAAGGTGCAATGGATGACTCATGCATGACTGATTGCCACCTTTTTTTCTTTTTCTTCTTCTTCTTCTTTTTTCGAAGACTC